AAGTTGCAGGATGGCAGGGGAGAGGCCAGGGAGGAGTGATATATCAGGGTGTCATCAGCGTACAGGTGGTAGTAAATGAGGTAATAAGTTTGACAAGAGAGTCAGTATAAAGAGAAAATAAAAAAAGGACCCAGGACAGAACCTTGGGGGACTCCAACCGAGACAGGACGAAAAGTAGACACTGAATTAGCGTTGGGAGACAAAAGAGGAAAACCATGAGAGGACAGAGTCACAGAGAACGAGTGATTGAAGAGTTTGAAGAAGGAGAGCATGATCAACGGTGCCAAAGGCAGCAGAGAGGTCAAGAAGAATTAGTATGGAGTAGGGGCCTTTGAATTTAGCTGCGATTAGGTCGTTAGTAGTAACTTTGATAAGGGCAGTCTCACTAGAGTGGAGAGGGTGGAAGCCAGATTGAAGAGGGTCAAGGAGAGAGTTGGAATTGAGGAAGTGACAAGTCTAGACAAGTCTTTCCAGGAGCTTTGAGAAAAAAGGGAGCAGGGAAATGGGATGATAGTTAGAGGGAGTGGACGGATAAGAGATTTTTTTTCAGGATGGGTACTACAGTGGAATGTTTAAGGTCAGCAGGGACCACGCCAGAAGAGAGAGAGCAGTTGAAGATTGTATTGTTTTATTTCCTGTTAGTTGGAGAGCATTTTCGATCCATCTGTTATGATAACCCCTTATGTTAGGTGGGTACTGTTCTCTTGAACGGTATTTATACTAACTACTCTACTTTCTTTGCAAATGCCAAGAATCTTATAGATGCACACCAATCGAATCAATTAAACCCTGGTTTAATACTTATGTGTATGTATTGTGTATTAAGAAAGAAATTAGAACATTACTTTTGGGATTGTGGAAGTCCCTGTAAACCAATACTATTTATAATCAGAGAACATTTGTTGCATCTACAGATATTGGCTGGTTAGAGTAGTGGCATAGGCGTGCGCACAGGGTGTGCCGGGTGTGCCTGGGCACACCCTAATCCCCGTGGCACGCCTATGGATTGAGACCGGCAGGGGAAATCTCAGGATCTCCCCTGTCGGATCATGCAGAGCCGGCGCTATCCGAGCACCGGCTCTGCTCTTAACCTCCTCTCACTGACCCACAGGCAGTGAGGGAGGCAGGAGAGGACCCGGGGAGCTCTTGCCAGCAGCTCCGCCAGGTTCCTCTTGCGAGGTTGGAGCGTTGCCATGTCAACACTCAGATCTCGCGAGAGTGAACTTTAGCCCCGCAGGCTAGAGTTCACTCTCCACTGGACCACCAGGGATGTATGGCAGCAGCAGCAGGATCCCCCCTCCCAGGCATAAGGTAAGAAGGGAGGGGGGATATTTACTAAACGGCCCCCACACAATACACACAATCACCCAAACATACAGCATACACACACAGCATCTACACATATACACACAATGCACCCTCACACATACATCACCCTTACACACACAGCACCCTCACACTAACAGCACCCTAACACTAACAGCACCCTTACACACACAGCACCCTCACACTAACAGCACCCTCACACACAGAACACACTAACAGCACCCTTACACACAGCACCCTCACACATACACACCCACACACATACAGCACCCTTTACACACACACACAGTGCCTTCACACACAGTGCCCTTACACACACACACAGCACCCTTACACACACACAGCGCCTTCACACACACACAGCACCTACACACACACACAGCACCTACACACAGCACCCTCACACACACAGCAGTATATGTGTGTGTATGTGTATGTGTATATATATATATATATATATATATATACACGGCGTGTGTGTTTGTGCTTTAGGGTGCACACCCTTATACAATATGCTGCGCACGCCTATGAGTAGTGGTAACATTATCAGACCACCTTACCAGTAAGTGTGTCTGGGCAAAACACTGAATGATATATATCTGCCTACTTCAAATTTTCTTATTTGAGTTTATAACAAAATAGATTACAGATTGTGTGATGTAGTTACAATGAAGGTGAGCAGGAGAACCACCTGTAGGAAAGTTCTCCTGTCTCCAGATCTTCGCCTGTCAATCAATTCTTGGCATAAATGCTATGCTTTTTTAGCAGAGCTCATAATGCTAGTTAATTCATGATACAGATTGGGGACAATACTTCCGTTAGCAATTCCTAAAGCATGATGTTAAGAGGAAGTTAATGATCTTTAACATAACATTTAGTCTGTGATAACTAAAGAGTAGTTCTTGCCTATATCCAATCTATTGCATATCTATACATTGTAAAATAAATATATACATTCACATACTACATTATGATATGCCAGTATCTCCTTAACACAGTATAATAAGATCTAATATGCGATTTCTGTTCTCCATCTTGTGGAGAGAATGTGCAATGAACCAACATTTTTTAACCTGCTTTTTGAGTCAGTAGTCTGTGATTTTAGGCCTATATTTCTAAACTAATAAAAAAATATATACTCTAAGCAAGTCCACAAAATTAGAAGATATCACAAAATCTGGCTTTAGCAAATCTTTATTTAAACTACACTCAAAAGTCTGTGTTGTTTAATACAATTTATCAATTGAAAAAGAACTTGACAGCAGTCTGCAAATACAAAAACAACTCTCCAGGAAAGATAAATGTACAGCTTGTGTGCCAGTGTTTGTATCTGTATGTGTGTCAGTGTGTATCTGTGCATCTGTGTCTGTGTGTGTATCTGTTTGTGTATCTGTACGTGTGTTAGTGTGTATTTGCATGTGTGCTAGTGTGTATCTGCATGTGTGTTTGTGTATCCGGATGAGTGGCAGTGTATATGTATATGAGTATACATCTCAATATTCAAACTTCAACACTACACACATACACCCCTGCATTCAAAACCACTACACACAAGTAAATTACTAGTTTCAAATGGCAACAGTACATAAAAACACACAACACCACACTACACACAAATACAGCCATATATTCACACCCACACTCCATACGAAAACATGCTTACATTCAAACGTACAAACACTGCTTACTGCTAAGTACAACCATGCAAGAAAAAAAGGCAAATGGTAGATCCCCAACTGACAAAGCATTGTGGGAGATGTACGACAGATGGGAATCTACCTTTTATCAGAGAAACTGCTATGTTTACATATGGGTTAATCAAGCCTCTAGTGGCTGTCTCATTGACAGCCGCTAGAGGCGCTTCCGCGCTTCTCACTGTGATTTTCACAGTGAGAAGACGCCAGAGTCCATAGGAAAGCATAGAGAATGCTTTCCTATGGACTGACTGAATCCGCGCGTGGGAGGGAGCCCGGCGCTGGAGAAAGGTAAGTGATTTAACCTCCTGGCCACCTGGAGGGGCTGGGGAGGAGGAAATGAGACACATGGGAGGGCTGGAGCAAAAATGAGACACATGGAGGGGCTGGTGGCTGGGGAATAAGACACATGGAGAGGATGGGGAGTCCCAGGGCAATTTTCGCACTGGGGCTAGTGGTTTCAAGTTATGCCTCTGCAGTGAAACAGTGTAAAAGTAGACTATACAGTCACAATTTTTGATCTGGTGACTGTTTATTAAGGGGACTCTCAGGCCTAACTTCACCCACATAACATTTGCAAACTATTTATGAACTCTAAAGCTGCATCCCTACTGCCTCCTCTGTATTCCTCCACTGCACTGGTCACACTTGTACGCTGGTAAGGACTTTATTAAGTAAATCCAAAACCCCAGTGTTGGATCAAGGCAGGTCCCAATCGTTTTGCTAAAGAGATCATATGCTTGTGGCCAGAAAGTGCAAATAGTAGGACAATACCACCACAAAAGGCTTCCCCATTTCCCACACTCCCTGTATCAGAGTGGTGAGCAAATGGGGTAAATGTGTTTGAGTTTGACAGGACCAACATGCCAACTCATGAAGCAGGGGTTCTTTATAACTGTGCATTAAAGTAAGAGACAAATATCCCCCCTAATTTTGATGTGAATGTGGGTACATGTGAAAACACAATGAGCAGATTTTCAAAATAACTTTCCAACATCCAACGACAGCCGGCTGTCTTAATTCGGATATAATTTGTTCTTAAGTGAAGGACATGTGCAGGTATTTATTTACAAAATGCATAAATCAGTGCCGCTTAGGGCAGAGGAAATGTATATAAAAATATTGAAAGTTGGACACCCAAGATTTACATTACATTTACTAATTGTGCATATCATGTGCAATACATTTCATTAACAGCAGGTGTCAGTGCTGCACTGATGTGTAATTTTCAACTTTCCCCAACTACAGTGAACATGAGCTGTTATCTAACAGATGTGATTTAGCAGATCCCTTTCCATAGTAGAAAGGTTTAACCTTTAAAGTCCCAAGCAATCAACACATTCAAAGCCTATAAGTGTGCACTAGAATATAGTCCTTAATAACCGAGCCTAGTGAATTGCATTTAAAGTGAGATGAAACATATATTTTAAACAGTCTGCAATGGTATAGAAAGCATAGCCAACATGTTATTTAAGTTTGCTTGGCAAAGAAAGAGTCTATAAAAATGTGTAGGTCAACAACAGTAAATAAAATTTCCTTATTAGCCTTGTTAAACATAGGGTTCTCTGACATAACACTCCAAATTTCCACACACCACGTGCAGTGAGGCTTTGATAGTGTAATTAGCCAGATTCTCCAGGTGTCCTATGTCAACCTGGATGGCTTCCATCTATTCCAACATTCCACATGCAGAGGTTCTGGCTTAATTCAATGCAGCAGGTAATCTATTATGTGTCAAACTGACTTTGACCTAATAAAATATGCCAAGGTAGAGTACCCATGGCAAGTACAGTTTCCATGGCACTAGGTACCCATTAGCTAATATTAAATTCCATCCCTATGGACTAGTGATGTCCCGAACGGTTCGCCGAACGGTTCGCCACGAACGGTTCGCCACAAACGGTTCGCCACGGACTCATCATTGAGTAAACTTTGACCCTGTACCTCACAGTCAGCAGACACATTCCAGCCAATCAGCAGCAGACCCTACCTCCCAGACCCTCCCACCTCCTGGACAGCTCACTAAGAATGCAGCTTCAAAATGGATGCTGTCCAGGAGGTGGGAGGGTCTGGGAGGGAGGGTCTACTGCTGATTGGCTGGAATGTGTCTGCTGACTGTGAGGTACAGGGTCAAAGTTTACTCAATGATGAGTCCATGGCGAACCGTTCGCGAACCGTTCGGCGAACCGTTCGGGACATCACTACTATGGACCCATGGAACATGAGTGCGAGTCTTCCCAAACTCATAAAAATACAACAAACCATATCAGAGTAGTATGGTGGGATGGTGTCAGGGTTTCTTTGCTGTTTTAAACAGCCACCCTTCCTTTTTCAGTGTCTGAGGTTTCAGCTGTAATTAACTATCAGCTCCTTCAGCATGTTGCCAAGGTTACTCACCTGAGAATATAATCAACCCTGCTGCTAATCACTTCAGCCTATTTAAGCAGCAAATTCCAGAACCTCCTTGCCCTTGCGTGGTTTCCTGTCCCCCAGAAGTCTCCTTGTTCCTGTGTTTCCTGTTTGCTCCTGGTTCCTGACTCTGGCCTTGTTCCTGACTCCGCTGACCTCCGTGCTCCTGATCCTGGCTCGTCTGACTACCCGCTCTGGTGACGGACCCCTGCTTGCCTCCTGGACTTTGCTTTTGGTGATTTCTTTGTTGTTTATTAAATAAAGGTGTTTTTGCATCTAGATCTGTCTCTGTCTGGTTCCTGGTTCCTGACAATACGCAAGGGCCATGAATACAGATGGTACAGGCAATACACCTATACCTAACCTATTTACCCGGTGGGACCAGCAGAACCACCATTTGGACCAGTATGCCAATCTGAAACCAAAACCCGGCCAGCCTGCGATTGCGGCCGCCTCTGCCTCACTTCCTGTTCTAGCACCAGTTGTAACCTCTGAACCTGTTGCGGCTAGAGGAATGACTGGGTCTGTCCCGCTCCCTCAGTATTTTGGGGGCAACCCAGCTCAGTGCAAAGAATTTATAAATCAGGTTAAAGGATACCTTGAAATGCTGCCCCAGGCATTTCCTACAGACAGCGACAAAGTCCAGTTCATGATTTCTTTGCTGTCTGAAAAAGCCCTAGCTTGGGCAAAACCTCTCTGGGAGGCAGAGAGGCCCATCATTTACAATTACCCTGAATTTGTTGCGTCCTTTAAAAGGGTTTTTGATATTCCAGCTCGCTCCACCCCTACTGCCAAACAACTCATGTCTAATACTCAGGGCACGTAAAACTATTGTTGAGTATGCCAGTGAATTCCGTACCATGGCAGCAGAGGGTGGCTGGAATAACGAGATTCTTGTGGCTGCCTTTGCACAGGGGCTATCCGATGTAATGAAAAATGAGATTGCAGGCAGAGAATTACCTAAAGATCTCGAGGAACTGATATCATTTGTCACCCTCATTGACATCAGACTCCGAGAGAGATCCTCATCCAGGGAGCGCCTGCGGAGGCCTCCAGTAGGTTTGGCACCGAGCTTTTCCTGCCCACCCAAACCTCCCTCACCTCCCATGCCTCCTGGCCCTGAGTCCTCTGTCTGTGTGGAGCCGAGGCGGTTAGGCTTCTCACGCCTCTCTGTCGAGGAGAGAGCCTTTAGGAGGAGGGAGGGCCTGTGCCTATACTGCGGACACCACGGTCACATATTAAAGTTTTGCCCGATTCGTCCGGTAAAGGGCCCGTACCCAAGATACTGTCAGGGGCAGATCTTGGGGGGTCTTTCTGCAGACCCAGAGATAAATAAGGGCAAAACCTTGGTGCCTATTATCCTCTCCTGGCCGGAGTCATCCATTAAAACCCGGGCATTTCTTGATTCTGGGGCCGCAGGCTTGTTTATAGATTGTGCATTTGCATCAGAGCACTCTATACCATTACAGCCTCGCAACTCCCCACTAGCTTTCGAAGCCATCGATGGCCGACCTATACAGCCAGCCCTCGTGACCCAGGAAACCGTACCCATATCTCTGGCTGTAGGGGCTCTACATCATGAGATGATCCAATTCCAGGTCATTTCCTCTCCTTACTACCAGGTTATTTTAGGATACCCTTGGCTACAGAAGCATAATCCCACAATTGATTGGCGCAAATCTGAGATGTTATCTTGGTCCCAGCAATGCACATTTTCCTGTCTCCGGAAACCGGTCAAAGTTTTGGGCACAATTTCTGCCTCTTCCTTACCCGCTGAGTACCAAGAATTCCAAGATGTATTTGACAAAGGTCAAGCTAGCGTTCTGCCACCACACCGTCCGTATGACTGTGGTATCGAACTCCAACCTGGTGCCAATCCTCCCCGTGGACGGGTTTACCCGCTGTCTGTAGCAGAGAATCGAGCCATGGAGGAGTATGTTACTGATGCGTTGTCAAAGGGATTCATTCGGAAGTCATCTTCTCCTGCCGGGGCCGGCTTTTTCTTTGTGAAAAAGAAGAGTGGTGAGTTGAGACCCTGTATCGACTATAGGGGTCTCAATCGCATTACTATTAAGAATGCCTACCCCATTCCATTGATCACTGAGTTATTTGACCGCCTCAAGGGAGCAACGGTCTTCACTAAACTTGATCTGAGAGGGGCATATAATCTCGTCCGGATAAAAGAGGGCCACGAATGGAAAACCGCATTTAACACCAGGAGCGGGCATTATGAATACCTAGTAATGCCCTTTGGTCTTTGCAACGCTCCGGCGGTTTTCCAGGAATTTATAAATGACGTCCTGCGAGATATGCTGCTGCTCCTCTACTGGCACACCCTAACCCTGCCTTACCATTCATTCTTGAAGTCGATGCGTCTGAGACAGGAGTAGGCGCCCTCCTGTCTCAACGTCCTAACCCAGAGAGCTCCAGGCATCCGTGCGGGTATTTCTCGAAGAAATTAAACCCGGCGGAATGCAATTACCAGATTGGTGATAGAGAACTTCTAGCCATAATATTAGCTCTCAAAGAATGAAGGCACCTTCTTGAGGGTACTTCAGTGCCAATTCTCATCCTCACAGACCACAAGAATCTGACATATCTTTCCGAAGCTAAGCGACTTTCCCCCAGGCAAGCTAGATGGGCTCTCTTCCTATCAAGATTCAATTATGCGGTTTCTTACTTGCCCGGTACTAAAAACATTCAGGCTGATGCCTTGTCCCGACAGTTCTCCCCTCCATCTAGAGAGGAGATAACCCCTACTCCTGTGATTCCTCCGGATCATATACTGGCCACCATCCGTACTAGCCTCACCTCACACCTAGGCGAGGAGATTCTGGCTGCACAAAGTAATGCTCCTCCAGAGAAACCTAATGGCCGTTGTTTTGTACCCATCCATCTCCGTACTAAATTATTAAGTACTTATCACAACTCCAAAGCAGCTGGACATCCAGGCAAAAACCAATTAATCTGGTCCGTCTCTCGGCAATTTTGGTGGCCTAGTCTCCGTTCGGATGTCACTGCTTTTGTAGCTGCCTGTCCTGTATGCGCCCAAAATAAAACCCCACGACACCCTCCAGTGGGTCTCCTGCAAACCATACCTAATGGTGAACGACCCTGGACCCACTTGTCCATGGATTTTATCGTAGATCTTCCGGTCTCCCGTGGCAATACAGTCGTTCTCATGGTTGTTGATCGATTCTCAAAGATGTCGCATTGCATTCCCTTGAAAAAACTACCAACTTCTCAGGAACTTGCAACAATTTTTGCTCGGGAGGTCTTTCGTTTGCATGGGTTACCCAAAGTGATAATCTCAGATAGGGGTAGCCAGTTTGTGTCCAGATTTTGGAGAGCTTTTTGTACACAAATGGGAATTCAGCTCTCCTTCTCCTCTGCCTACCACCCGCAATCCAATGGTGCCGCGGAACGAGCTAACCAAACACTGGAACAGTTTCTGCGTTGCTACATTTCTGACCACCAGAACAACTGGTCTGATCTGCTACCCTGGGCGGAGTTTGCCCACAATAGTGCGATCAATGCCTCTTCCCGGCTATCCCCATTCTTGGCGAACTATGGCTTTCAACCGTCCATATTGCCTGATACGTTCATGCCACAAGGGATACCGGCATTGGAGGAACATCTCAGGGAACTCCGTTCCACTTGGGTGCAGGTTCAGAACTCTTTGCAACATGCAATGCAGAACTACAAACTCCAGGCCGACCGCAGACGCCTTCCTGCACCTACCTATCAAGTCGGAGAGAGGGTCTGGCTGTCTTCTCGCAACCTACGGCTCGTGTTCCCTCACAAAAACTGGCACCCCGATACGTTGGGCCATTTCGTATACTTCGAAGGGTTAACCCTGTAGCTTACGCACTTGACCTTCCTGCTAACATGCGCATCTCTAATGTATTCCATGTTTCCCTCTTGAAACCATTGGTATGTAATCGTTACACCACCTCAGTACCACGTCCACGTCCTGTTCCGGTTGACAATCATGAGGAATATGAAATACGCAGCATCATTGACTCACGAGTCTTCAGAGGACAGATCCAATACTTGGTGCACTGGAAAGGGTACGGTCCAGAGGAACGCTCCTGGGTTCCAGCCTCTGATGTCCATGCACCATCCCTCCTTCGTTCCTATCACGTTCGCTTCCCCATGAAGCCCGGACCCACCAGCAGAAATGGGGGGAGTCGTTGAGGGGGAGGTACTGTCAGGGTTTCTTTGCTGTTTTAAACAGCCACCCTTCCTTTTTCAGTGTCTGAGGTTTCAGCTGTAATTAACTATCAGCTCCTTCAGCATGTTGCCAAGGTTACTCACCTGAGAATATAATCAACCCTGCTGCTAATCACTTCAGCCTATTTAAGCAGCAAATTCCAAAACCTCCTTGCCCTTGCGTGGTTTCCTGTCCCCCAGAAGTCTCCTTGTTCCTGTGTTTCCTGTTTGCTCCTGGTTCCTGACTCTGGCCTTGTTCCTGACTCCACTGACCTCCGTGCTCCTGATCCTGGCTCGTCTGACTACCCGCTCTGGTGACTGACCCCTGCTTGCCTCCTGGACTTTGCTTTTGGTGATTTCTTTGTTGTTTATTAAATAAAGGTGTTTTTGCATCTAGATCTGTCTCTGTCTGGTTCCTGGTTCCTGACAGATGGTAGGTTGATCTCAAATTGATTCTCAAAAGACCATTAGCATTCTTTATCTAAACTAGCAGTTAACCAATGCTCATATACCTTCTTAACCCACAAATTGTATTAGTGATAATAAAAGAACCTTGAATTAGAGCAGTAAAAAAACAAAAAAACAAAAACGTATTCATATAATGATGATAATGATCACAAGCAAAATATATATTTTCAAAGACAATCGTTAATGTCAAATTTCAATGTGGTTTTAAGCACCCCACCGGTACGGCTAATAATTCAGATTAAATCCAGGGAAACATCTACAAGCAGGAGTACCAGTAATATACCTAGGTCTCCCTAACCACTGTCTTTGAGTTCTAAATGAGACACTACAAGGCACAACAAGCAAAAGATCCACAACTACATTAACCTTCACTCAAATTAGACACTCTAAGACCACTTATGTGAGCAGCTAAATCAGATCATGGTGACATCTGTTAGCCCACACATCTTTTTTATCTCCTTGTTTCCTCTGTGACAGATAAAGCAATATGTACATAGCTAGCACTTACATTAAAGCTCAAAGCATGCCTTTAGAAGTTTCCAGATTAATTTAAAATTTTATTTGCATGTCATTCACTCACCATTCTGAAATTAATAAATCTTGCAATGCATTTAACTTACCATATACACACATGTCCAGCGGATGAGGCCGTGACTGGAAGCAACAGACAGCATACAAATGGCTCTGTGGGGAACTATCATATTACCGGTAGGGTCTTAATATGTTTTGATTGATCATATATTGTATGCCATCTGTCCTCCTGATCAATTAAGATGGGGATCAAGTATCCTCTAGTTGTTAGTATATCCTTGTGACAGTGGGTGAGATTGTAGACATTGTTGCTGCCAGGAAAGAGAAGTTTTATAGGAGATATGTTTTCTAAGCATCTGGAGACAGATAGTCCATGTACAAGGAATATAATACACTCTCTAATGTACTAAATAGCAGATGTTGCCATCA